GTTATCAAGCAGAAAAAATGTAGCGAGAGTGGAGGCTAATCATTAAAAGTTTTTATTAAAATTAAAAATATTATGGACGCATACCAAATATTAGGAGTTAGCCCCGGTGCTACCCAAGAAGAAATAGCAAAGGCTTATCGAAAATTGGCCTTAAAATATCACCCTGATAGAAATCGGGGTAATGAGGAATGAGCGAAGAAAAAGTTTATAGAAGTGAGTGAAGCATATGAAAGTTTAAGTTCATCATCAGCAAGGTCAGGAATATCAAGGAGGAGTTTTCAATTCTCTAACCGACCCGGTTCAGATAAATTTAAAGAGTTTGAGGAAATGTTAAGGGAAGTAACAAGAAATCTTGATAACATAGAAAGAAATCTTGATGAAACCCGAGAAAGTCTTGACCGACAACAAGAAAGATTATGGAGTGAAGCCATACGGAATATGGAAGACAACTTAAATTTAGCCGGTGTGTCGGTTTCCGATTTAGACTCTAGTTTATGGTCTCCTTATGGTGATTGGAAAGAAAAAGTTCGAAATTCTTTTAATAGTGATTTGGACGTTTTTTTAAGTAATATGAGAATTGCGATTAATAAGGCAGAATGAGAGAAAAAGAAAAATAATCATAGCAATTATAACAATAGTTATTCATCGCAAAATTACAACGACCAAAAGGAAAAATATGATGGTGAAAAACCAAATTATTCGGATAGTCGACCAGATAAAAACTTTTCTCCGAACGATAAAAGTGGATGAAGTGGTGAAGGGAAATATACTCCAAATTACACTCCCGAATATATTAAAGAAATAAAAAAGAAAATTGAGTTTTATAAGGAATGTTTACTGAAAACTTCTGACGAAAGAGAAAAACAAAAGTATCAAGAAATGATGAATAAACTAGAAAAAGAGTTGGAGACGTTAAGAAATCAATCAAATAATCAAGACCACGGCAATCCAACACCAAAACCAACCCCCGAACAAGAAAAAGTTGCCAAAGATAAATTAGCAGAAGCCGCTCAGAGTAATGATAAAGATGAAATAGTAAATATCCTTAGCCAAGCCAACGAGACCGTAAAAAACAGCGCTGACCCCGAATTAAAAAAACAGAAAGACCAAGCCGAAGATAACTTAGGCAAAATTGACCCAAATGAGTTAAGAAAAATCATTAAAACCGAAGTAGAAAAAGAATTACAAAAATTCGAAATAAAAAAGGAC